GGGCACGCGGCCAAGCGTCCCGCGCGCAGCGTCCGGGGCGCTCTCGGCGAGGCGGGGGCGCGCGGGGTGGCATGGAGGCCACTGAGAAGCAGCACCTGCTGGACGGCAGGCGCGGAGCGGGGTAAGACAGAGCCCCGGAAGGCGAGCCCTGGGGCGACATCCGACCCACCCCATCCACGCTGTGGTTGGTTTTGGCTGCCTGCAGCCTAACCTGGGGCCACGCCAGAGAGGTGGGGTGAGGCCAGGGAAGGGGAAATTGGCCGCGGTGCCCGTGCTCCAGGAACCATCTGTGCCTTTCAGCGGCGGAGCACAGATCCTGACTCAGTCTATGGGAGTGGGGTCGGGGACAAGGTCTGGAGTCCCGCCCACAGTCCAGCCCTTTGCCCTCCCCTACCAGCAGCCCAGGGGAGGCCCTGTGCCGCAGGGGAGCCGGAGGGGAGCTCTGCTCTTCACCGGGAGCCGAGGCTCTGTTCTTTCTCCGCGCTCCACTGGACAGCGGGCCTCCTGACCAGTCCCCAGAGGCTGTCGGTCCTCCTGTAGTCCTCGGAAGCAACCGAGAAGGGAGCAGCCTGGTTCCAGGGCCCCGAGTCTTCCATCCCTCCAGCGGCCGACCCCCCAGAACAAGGGCTTCTCACCCCTTGGTCCCTCCCCGGGGCTGGTGAGCTTGGCCTGCTCTTAGCTCTCCTTTCCAGTGGACACATGGGAGCACCAGGGGTCCGCGGGGAGATGGCCCCGGAGCCGGCCCTCTTTGCCTCTAGCTCCCAGCCGAGTTCCCTCCCTCCCCCTCCTGCCAGGTCATACACAGGATCTCTGTGGCAGGACAAGGCCGGCTGGTTCCCTCAGCCCCAGTCTGGCCTGGACTTCCAGGCTGTTGAGCTGACTGCCCAGAGCAACCATTACTGCCATGCCCAGAAGGATCCAAGCAGTCAGTATGACCCCAAGAAGGAGCGGGCCCGTCACCAGCTCTATGTGGCCTCTGCCGTCTGCCTGGTGTTCATGATCGGGGAAGTCATTGGTAAGAAGTCTCGTGCTAATTAAGTGAAGTTGGTGTGGGGAGAGCCTGGATGGTCCCAGAAATGTGAATAGCAGTAGCCCCATTTACAGAACCCTCATTATGCTAAAACCTGCATTTACACATTATCTCACACAATTCTCACAGCCAGCGTATGCTAGCGACTGTGTTCTTTTCCTCCCAGTACTAGAAACCCAGAGCTTTCACCCTGAGCTACATCGCCAGCTCTGTTTATTCACTTATATTTATTTGCATTTTGAGACAGGGTCTTACGAAGTTGCCCAGTCTGGGTTCGAACGTTTAGTCCTCTCGGGATTCTGGGCTGACAGGCGTGCACCGCAGTGCCCAGTTTATTCTCCTGATTTTACAGATGGTGAAACTGAGCTATGTTAAAGTTAAGTAACCTGCCAAAGATCACACAGAGTGGGTAGGTAAGGGAAGTCCCCACTTCCTAGAAGGAAAGAGCCTTTACTGAGTGCCTGTTATATTTCCAGCCCGTATTTGAATTTGATTTTCACATTCACCCTCTAAGCAGATTTTTTTTTTTTTTTTTTTTTTTGTCTTTTTGAGACAAGGTCCCACTATGCAGTTCAGGCTGGCCTTGAGCTCACTTTGTAACCCAGGCTGGTCTGGAGCTCCAACGATCCCCCTGCCTCAGCCTCCCGAGTGCTGGGATTACAGGCGTGTGCCACCACGCCCAGCCCTAGCAGATGTTAAGTCATTTCACAAAGTGGAAGTTGAGGCTCAGAGAATGTAAGCCATTTGTTTATGGTTGTACAGCTGATGGACGGAGAGATCTGGAGCCCCGTGTCTTTTCCCAGAGCCTGTGGACTCCCCGCTGCACATGCTCTGGGGAGTTGGTTCTGCAGGGAACCGACAAGGACCCTCACTCCCCTGGCCCTGTCCCTGCAGGTGGGTACCTGGCACACAGCCTGGCCATCATGACTGATGCAGCCCACCTGCTCACTGACTTTGCCAGCATGTTAATCAGCCTCTTCTCCCTCTGGATGTCCTCCCGACCTGCCACCAAGACCCTGAACTTTGGCTGGCAGCGAGCTGGTGAGGACACTTACTGGGCTACAGATGAGGTTGAGAGAGAGAGAGTGTGGGGATCAGAAAAGAGGCCGTTAGGGTGGTCGGGAGGGTCAGGCCTGACTGAGGCCAGGAAGAGGGCAGGGAAAGAGGATGTCAGCCATGGCCTTGGTCCTCTGGGACCTCAGTCTGATCGGGCAGCCCTGGTCCCAGTCATCCAGGAGCTCTGATCCTGCAGAGAAGCAAAGGTCGCCTTCCTAAGAATGCAGTGGCTGAAGAACTTCAAGAGCACAGGACAATAGCATTAGCACTGTACATAACTCCATGGATCAGCTCTGCAGGGAGGGAGAGTCAGCAAAGGCCTTAAACTCCACCAGTTCACTCTGGAGCTGCATTGTCATTTTCCTCCACGGAAGATGGCCCAGCCTCCTCTCCTCGGATGCTTGTTTGCCAGCTGATCAAAAGGCATATATAATAAGAAGTCTGTTTCTTTCCATGTAAAACAAACAAGGTTGACCGGGATGACTTCTTTAACTCCTTCTAGCCCCGATGCACTCAGACGTCTGAGTGCTGGGGTAAGGTGTAACCATGCCAGCCACACCTTCAGCAGGACCCAATGGGACCCCGGCATTGCAGTGGGGAGGAGAGACCGTGAAGTGGGGAGGCCCCCAGCCATAGGGCCCCAGGCTCACTGTGGCGCTGGTGGTCGGGTCTTCCCCAGAGATCCTGGGAGCCCTGCTCTCTGTGCTGTCCATCTGGGTTGTGACTGGGGTGCTGGTGTACCTGGCTGCGGAGCGACTCATCTCTGGGGACTATGAGATCGAAGGAGGCACCATGCTCATCACGTCGGGCTCTGCCGTGGCTGTGAACGTCATGTGAGTGTGGCCTGGGTTCCCTCAGCAGCCGCCCCCCCACCAGGCATACTTTGCTGTCACTGGAAGGCCATGCCACGGTTCAGCACAGGACAGGGACGAACTTTTCCTAATACTTTCAGCTCTGGCACCTGGGATATATGGATCCTGCCTCAAGCTTAGGCCAAGGACGTTGGGGGCTATACATCAGGGTTCACATCAACTCTAATCACCCCTGAAACACGTCCAAATAACCTTGAAGCCCTCAAACCTGCAGGGAGAGGGATGAGTGTAGGTGTCCCTGGGGGCCTGACCCTCATCCTTTCTCAAGCTCATGTGGCTGAAACTGGTTTTGGTGGAGGCAGTGAGGGCACTGCATGGGTGTCTCATTTGGGCCTTCTGTCTCACTTACTTAGTAGCCTCAGTTCCCCCATCTGTGACGTGCCACCGTGAACTGGATGACCTTCACACTGCCCTCTTGCTCTGAGATTGTTGTTCCCAGGCTCAGCCTAGCCTTGGAGCTGAGCCCTTTCTCCTGTGGCTCTGAATCGAGGTCACGAGGATTAGGCTCTTCTCTTGGCCAAAAGAAATCACAGAACCTAAGGCCCTGGAGATTTTGGGTCCAAAAGGAGGTCAGCCCTATGGGTGCCTTCTATCTTTTTTTTTTTTTTTTTTTTTTTTAAATCTTTTTGAGACAGGGTCTTGCTATGCAGTTCAGGCTGAACTTGAACTCATTTTGTAGCTGAGGCTGGTCTCGAACTTGCAACGATCCTCCTGCCTCAGCCTCCCAAGTGCTGGGATTACAGGTGTGCGCCATCACGCCCCGCAGTGCCTTCTGTCTTGCTGATTTGAAGCCTCTGCTGCTACCTCAGTAACCCCTGGGTTTTGTCTCCACTTCTCTAGAATGGGGTTGATCCTTTACCAGTCTGGCCACGGGCACAGCCATGGAAATGGGCACAGCCATGACGGAACCAGCCAGCAGCAGGAGAACCCCAGTGTCCGAGCTGCCTTCATTCATGTGATTGGGGACTTTCTACAGAGCTTGGGTGTCCTGGTGGCAGCCTATATTTTGTACTTCAAGGTCAGAGCTGGGAACAGAGGGCGGAGCATGGGGCAAGGGAGTGTAGATCATCGCAGGCTCCTCTCTGCATTGGAATCTTCCCAACTGTAGCTCTCTCCCAGCTCTGGACAAACGGACGGAGAGAGGGAAGGGAATATCTATTCAATACCTACTGAGTAAGAGTGCCTCTTTTTTCACAACTGCCCTAAAGAGTGGGTGGTAGCATTTTATACAGCTCAGAAAGGCTCAGGGACTGGCACAATGTCACACAACTGATAAGCCAGATTCAAACCCAGTCTTATGTGCTGCCAAAGCCTGGACACTGCCCATTACAAATAGGCAGGGAGGGCTTGAGGAGAGTCAGGCATTGAGTTTGAAGCTGTATGGTGCTGAGTAAGGTGCCTGCTCATATTGAGCCTCAAATTCCCCATCTATAAAATGGGGCTATCAGGTCAAATGCTAAGATTCCTTTTAGCTCCGTTCGTGCCTCAGCCCCTCAGACAAGAAAGGGCGGGGAGGGCCTGGGTCTGAACTGTGGTCTGTTCTGTCTGTTCTTCGAGATGTGGAATAAAGAGCAGGAAGTAGGAGGCAGGCTGGGGTGAGGCTTATGCCCACCTTGCAGAGGGAGCCCCGCTCCCCGACAGTGCTAGAGAGAAGAGGGAGCTGAGGTGTTGGCTGGTGAAGCCCAGGTCTGCCTTGCCCTTTTCCTGCAGCCCGAGTACAAGTATGTGGACCCTATCTGCACCTTCATCTTCTCCATCCTGGTCCTGGGGACAACCTTGACGATCCTCAGAGATGTGACCCTGGTACTGATGGAAGGTAGTCTGGGCCGTGGGCTTTACTTTGATTCAAACCATAATCGGGCTCAAATAGTGCATGTGTGTGCATGTGTGCGTGTGTATGTGTGTGAGTGTAAATCCCAGCACACTATTGGGGAGCTGCGATCGGGAGCCAGCACGGGAGGGAAACTTCTGGGGTCCCCAGCTGACCTTGGCCTAGAGCTGGGCCCTCATTTGTGTCACTTCCTGGAAAAGTCCTCTGCTTGTCAGTGCCCTGTCCTCCAGCCCCAAGGGTGCCTCCTCCTCTGCCGGGGTGTGTCTTGCCTGCCTATCAGGTGGCTTCTGGGTGGCCTCTGTAACACCTGGGGCTCCAGCCTGACATATACCCGTCCCCAGTCTCTGCTGCCTTCTCAAGCAAAGCAGCTGAGATTGTTTCCCATTGTGCAGGGAATGTCTGAGGCTCAGAAAAGGAGTCCACCCCAGCTCAGGCCTTCCCAGCAGCTACACAGGGTCCAAAACTTACCCTGGCTCAGGGGGAGGGGCTTGCAGGGCGGTGGAGAACGATCTGCCCTGACCACCACTCTCCTTCACCGGGGTTTTCTTATGTGTGGGGCTTGAGGCTTGGGGCTTGGGCCGAGTCACGGGTCTCTGCGTGGCCAAGGTCAGTGTGGAGTGAAGGTGGGTGCTGCAGGCCTGAGGTTGGCGGTAGCTTTTCTCCAACAAGATGACTGGCTTAGATTAAAGTGATGCTGATCCCTCAGGCAGGTACAGGGACTCTGGGGTTCTGTTCCTTCTTTCTGTCCTTCCTCCCATTAAAAATAAGCACTTAGTGAGCATGTAGAGAGGCAGGCGCTGTTCTAGGCACTGAGGATACGGTGGTGAACAAAACAAGAGCCCTGCGCCTGCGGGGTTTCCATCCCAGAGGCGGAGACGCAAACGCTCTAACAAGCTGGTTTCAGGCGGTGTTAACTGTGAAGAGAACACAGCAGGATGCATGGGAGTTGGGGAGCGGGGCAGTGTCAGACCAAGGAGGTTTCTCGGAGGAGAGGGCTGAGGGGCAGCAGCGCCCTTTAGCTCCTGTCGCTGCCGTCTTCAGGGACTCCCAAGGGCGTGAACTTCACGGCGGTGCAGGAGCTGCTGCTGTCGGTGGAGGGCGTGGAAGCCCTGCACAGCCTGCACATCTGGGCGTTGACCATGGCCCATCCCGTGCTGTCTGTCCACATCGCCATTGGTGAGTGGAGGGGACGTTCGGGGTGGGGTGAGGGAGCGAGGCGGCCAAAGGCCCGGGGCCGTCCCGGTGGATCTTGCAGGGTCCTGGCCCTGAGCCAGCACTTGGACCGTATTACTTCATGTGCTTATTATGATCTCATTCACCCAAGAAGAAGCTGAGGTTGGGGGTGGTGGCGGTCAACTCCTTTGCCTGGGCAGACAAGTCCCTTGCAGCAAACAAGTGCAGAAGGCGGCAGATTCCTGGCCCCTAGAGGCTGGTGCTTTTCTTGCTCTTTCAGGATTGGGCCAGGCATGGGCTTTGAGGGTTTGCCTGATGCAAGAGAGGAATCTGAAGTCTTCTTCTTTTGTAGTACTGGTAATCAAACCCAGGGTTGCTCCACCACTGAGCTACATCCTCATCCCTTTTTTTATTATGAGACAAGGTCTTGCTAAGTTGTTTAGGCAAAACTCACACTTGGGGTCCTCCTGCCTCAGCTTCTCAAGTGCTGGGATTACAGGAGCTTCTGGGGGCTTCTTCATGTTCATGGTCCCCTACCTTGTTCTGCTGGGGGTAGGCAGGAGACTTGGGCTCCTGATTGTTCCTTTTTTTTTTTTGAGACAGGGTCTTGCTATGCAGTTCAGGTTGGCCTTGAGGTCACTTTGTAGGCCAGGCTGGTCTTGAACTCGCAATGATCCTCCTGCCTCAGCTTCCTGAGTGCTGGGACTACAGGCGTGCACCACCACGCCCAGCTTTCCTGATTGTTCTAAAATGCCAAGCTTGGGTGAACAGGTCTCTGGTCCCCCTCACCCCCCTCATGTCTCCTGCCCCAGCTCAGAATGCGGACGCCCAGGCTGTGCTGAAGGTGGCCAGCACCCGCCTCCAGGGGACATTCCACTTCCACACGATGACCATCCAGATCGAGAACTACTCCGAGGACATGAAGGACTGTCAGGCATGCCAAGGCCCCTCCGACTAGCAGCCTGGCCAGGCACCGACTGAGGCTCCACCAGGACCTGCAGGTGGCCAGACCGAGTGTCCCGCAGACCCAGCCAGGACTCTGCCTAGCCCGTGCCTCTCTCTGTCCCAGGGTTAGTGCAGAGCTTTGTCCCCTGCAGGAGTGGGAGCTCCTCCTGGCCTCCCCCATCTGCCCACAGCCAGCTCCGGGGTGGAGACTGGGCCGGTGTCCGGCCAGTGGGTCCCCTCTCCTCCACCTCTAGGTCAGCTCCCCACAGGGCTGTGTTTGGGTCTGATCCCCAGCTGGTGCCAGCCTGACACCCACAGCAAGAAAGTCATTGAGGCACAGCCTGGGCCAACAAAGAGGAGAGTGGCTTAAGAGTTCCCTGACTGGCCCGCATTTCCCACCTGCATCCTGACTGGAATGGAACCCTTCCTTCTGCCAGTAAGGCTTGAAGAAGCCATGGGGTCAGGAGTTATGAGGACCCCTGGACTCACACGAGTTCCCTGAGATGTGGAGGCGGGGCACCTGAGGTCTGCCTGTGCCTTAGTCACCTTGGCTTGGGGTCAGATGCTTCCCTTTCCTGGAGGGGGACGCTTCCTACTGGGTAACCCGGCTGTTTTCCTCCTTCCTTGTCCCTCCTCAGCCAGGAAGCTGGGCCAACATACAGATACGCTTGACACAGTTTGGGGGGACAGGTTGCAGCTGGGGTCTGGCCCAAACAACTTTACAGCCCCGGGGCCACTTCTGGCACCCTGATAGTGTTCCGGGGGATCCCGGAGCCTGGAATCACACATGGTTGACCTGGCTCTATTGCCTGCGTCAGAATCAGGGGACGGAGGACAAAGCCCAGGGCCTAAGGAGGAGGGGCCGTCCTGGCTTCTGGGATTCAGTGTGAGAACACTCCTGACTTAGGGGCTGGCTTGTGTTTACAAGGAGCAAGAGCGGAGACCTGGCCCATCTCACGGAGGCAACATGCCCAGTTGGCAGGGAGCCCTGTGCCTAATGTCTGTCTCCCTAATGTCCACTCCTGCTGTCATGGGCAAGTGTCCTTAGGCCAGCTGGCCTCCCCACTCTTACCTGAAGACAGAGTGGGACACCTACCTCACAGGGCTGTTGTGAGGACAGAGCCAAAGATTTGGTCACCTGGCCAAGCACCTGTGGTTGCCGGAGAGTGGTTACTTTCACTGTCATCCTGGAATGCGGGGACCTCTGCGGCCAAAGGCTATCCGGTGGGCTTCTAACCTGCCCGGGGCAGCGCTGAGTCTGTCCGGACTGTCCAGGCCATGGCAGGAGGAGGAGGATCTGGTCACTTCCTTTCTTCTTTGAGTCTCTTCCTTTTTTTAGACTTTTTTTTTTTTTTTTTTTTTT